TCCTAGACACCTTTCTGCCTCCTTCCCATTAAAATCTGTCTGTCCTGCACCGCAACTGGAAATGTATCCTGGAGCCCAGCTGTGGCCCACCACTGCCTTGGCATTGTCATTCATGAATATTTTTGCTGAAGCAATTTGCCCAATAGATCTTAACATCAGATCTGCCTTCTCCGCATTGCAGCGATGACTCAGGTCAGACTGGGGTTAATTCTTGGATTCTTTTCTTCTCAGTCGCTGCCAGCTGAGGAGCAGGAGTTCCCACTGGTAATTCCTAATAACATCTCCTTACATATCATACTGTACAATTTCATCCCATCTCCACTACTCCTGTCTTCAAGATTGCCCATTTTTTTACTCTTATTCTGTATTTCTAAACCCTCATGATTTTGTCTCATTAGCAAATGTCACCAACACGAATCTCCTTTCTGTGTCGGCTTGCTAATGAAATATGGAATAATATCAAGCCTTACACTGGTCCTCAAGGATTTTGCCCTCCAGCCCAACAGATCCCCTAATAAAATATTAATAACCTGTTAATATCTACTTTAGATAGTGTTTGGTTCTTGAACCAGCCCCTACCTGACAACTGTCTATATAGCACCATACTAGCTGTTTAGCTGAAGCCCAGATATTACACTCCCTACCTTCCCTTTATCTAGAAAACAAGTGAGATGATGTGTAGTGTTAGTCTGACACAATCAACATCTGGAAAATGCCTGAGAAAAAGAGAACTCAAAGAGCACTTCCAGAAGGAAAGAATCCCATCTTTCTAGCCCAATACTGTCAGGAGTTTACTGTCTGCACATAGACTTTGATAGATTACTTTGAGGATGACATTTTGGCAGATACTGCATTTATTTGCATGCAACTTCTCCTTTCTTGTCTCCTTCCTTTCCCCCACTTCCCAACCCTCCTCTGTCATTTCAGTAATTGTAAGACTGGGGGAGCCACGGCTTGAAAGGACGTGCTTAGCCAAAGTCAGACATTCAAAAATAAATAGTTCTACCTTGCTAGCACCTTTTCCGTGATGGCAGCCAGGGCGTTGTGGCAGGGATCTCCGAGCGGCAGCCAGGCGGCAGGCAGCAGGGAGGGAAGGAGGTGCCAATCTGGGCCTCAGGT